ATATCAAAAAAGTACTCCAGAGTGTTGTTCAGCATGGGGGTGAGTAGAAAATGAAGGCTAATCATGTTTTGGGTGTACTATTCCTTTAAACATGACAAAGCACCCTGTCAGGAATACATGTTAATTTACAGAGTCTGTCTCCCTGCAGCGAAAGGCCAAACCTCACAGACTTGACCAAATCAAGGACACTGAATGTCTCAATGACTGCTGGGAAGTATTTTAATACAAAAATGAAAGACAGCAAAGTAAGGTTCAAAGTGAGTTTACTACAACTAACATTGTGATGACAATGTTTCTGATGCTCAAAGTTTTCTAACATTGAGCTCTAACAAGAGCTCCTGTCAAAGCGGGATATGAAAGATGGGTATAGGTAAATTTGAGGCTATCCTGGAAATGTAAAAATAAATTAAAGCGAATTCCAAAAGACATTGAAGCTTTAAATGTAGCTAAGTTAAATTTTGGTGCAAGCCTAAAGTAATTCTCTAAACTACTGAGCAAGTTGGGCTGAAGATAAAAGTGCCAGACACTATTTTCAGAGTTTTGCTTTTTGAAAAAAATAAAAATAAAAGCCCCACTGTCCTTACACCTCACAATTATGAACTACTTTGTGTTTCTTCTATCTTATAATAAAAACCCATTGAACATAATACTGCAAAAACATGTTCAGGGAGCGTGATTTCTTTTGCAAAGCATTTGTAAGCAATGAAAAGATAAACATCAAAATCAGAAATTTCTGCTGTTTTGATTCAATGTTGTCTTTTCCAGCGACTTGAGGAGATCATGCGGAGAACCAGGAGGACAGATTCCCCAGATATGGTGCGTTTTACTGAATCTTAGCTTCTCAGAACAGAACACAGCCTCGGGTCTCTTGTGACTCACATTCACTGTCGGCTCATTAAAAGCGTTTTAGCCTTGAATAAAAGGTTGAATAACGTATTAATCACAGAATTCTGCCTCGCCGACGACCCTACCGAATGAAAACACGGAGCCTCCACATAACGGAAGGATAGAGGACCCCAACAAGACGCCGTCTGGGACTAAAAGCACACAGCTGGGGTTAGGCAAAGAGGACGACGTGGTGCCCGTCGTGGCCTTCAAGGAACGGAGATCCCTCAGAGCGCTTTCTGGTCTGGAGGAAATCCAAACCAAACAGAGAGCAGGTGAGGACAAACAAAAGACAAAAAAAAA